TTTTTTTTTTCAGGACACTCCCAAGAGGAGGCCAGAAGATCAGCTTAGTCTGCCACTAAAACTCATCTTTGGATAAGGAAATGGATGGATGTAAGTTCCTACAGCCTGTATATATTATGTAACAAGTTACCACAGAAAAGAAATTATCTTTAGAAATAAATTTAACAAATTCAGCTGAATTAAGAGCATTCTACAATTAACAAGTTAATAAATAAAATTTTATTTTCAAAATCATGCAAATCTATCATTGCTTATAGATCAATTTCCTCTTTACACATTCGTCTCTCAGAAGTAGCAATAGCCTACTCATAATTACTACATGAAGTAGACTTTGTGGCAAACTAAACATTCCCCCTTCATGATACATATGGAAAATATTTATTTTTACATGAGCAAAATGCCACTTGGTAATGGCATGGTTCAGTCTGAAAAGGGATTGGAATAAATAAAAATGAGGCATCGCATCAGCATGGTATAGTGAACACAATTCAAGACACTTACACTGGTTGATTGCAGTTGTGACATCCACTGTGTTATCAGTGTTAAAGTCATCAGTTATCAGTTACACATGCACCAGCACTCACTTAAAGGTGAAACCAGTAAACATGGCTCTTTAGCGGCCTCTAGTGCCAGCCTAAACACAACAGCATTAACAACAAACATGTTCCTACCAATGCGTCTCCATCAGCAAAGTCTAGAGTTTCATTTATAGGCTTCCTGACATTGTCTTCTCTGACAAACTGCATCATACTTTAAGCTGCCTGATTTATTATCAAACACTTTGCATCAAACAGCAGCTTAAATCTGTTAAACAGTTTATACAAGTTGAACTGATATTTCTTTCAACTTTCTCACACTCTACTACTGACAGTTTTGGGTTTTAGAGATAAAAGGGTGACAGATAACAAAATCTATAGGTTAGAGCCAGTGAAATATTACGCTACTTGTTGCACCTTTAAGATCGAGGGAGACAAATATAACAAAACCTCAGTTTACTTCTTTATTATCTGAAAATAAAAGATAACTGAATAAATATAAAACTTAAATTACTTCTGAGACAAAGTTAAGTAAGCTTTAATTTGTTCTACCTCTTTCTTTGAGATATACAATGGTAAAAGTGATTTGTCTCTTAAATTCCCTTAAGGTCTTTTGCTTGACCTCAGAACCAACTTAAGCAAACCTTTACAAACAGAGATGGTTAAATGACAGAAAAGCAGGGCCTACTGTCTTATTTTTCAAATACAATTGTGGTAAAATGTCTTAATGAGTTACAACTCATCCCACAACACCTAAATGATTTATCTTAAATAACTAAGAGAATCTGAATGGATACATTATGGGCAGCAGAGATTTAGTGTATTTATTATACCTACTCAATATTCCCCATTAGCATGCAAATATGTTTTTAGACTTTTTTTGAGAGGGAGGTGTGTTTACAATAAAAGTAATTATTATATAAGAACATCACAAAAATGCATATCATGAACTACTGAACCTTATTTGACAAGAAAGTTGTGAAATGTGTTCCATGGAATGTTAATTGTTGCTAGTTAAGTGAGATGTAACTATTACAATTTCTAAGAAACTGAAAATAGTAGCCCACAGACTGTAACACATGGCTGCTGATTTCTAACCAAAGCCACGACAAGTGTTGATCTTTAAACTTGGTTGTATAGCAGTATCAGAAATTATACAATAAAAAATATATATTTATTCTGCATCACTCATATAGCTGAACAGAACCTGCAGCATACACTCAACCTGTTGTCTTATTAGGTCCACCGAGCAACATCTGTTGTATTCTGATGAGTAAGCTGGTGTCAATTTAAACATATTTTTGTATATTTCCCCAAATGTGTTTTTATAAAGACAGATTAAATACGAAAAATTTAATTAACCTTTTAACATCCACCAACTTACTTACAGCCCACTTAAAGGTGAGGTTAGGTTACATTTTAGCTACATGCTAAACATAACATTACTGTTCTCAAGACATTACGTTAGGTCTCATACATGCATCTTACCTTCAGAATTTCTGTTATTAGACTTCAGCTGAATATATTAAATAGGTGAAAATTCCAATTGAATTTACAACCTGGTAAATATGAATTTAATGCTAACCGTACCCCTAATCTTAACTCTAAATAGGCTGTGATGGTTGTTTAGCGTTTCAACTGAACCCTTCAAGATGATGGTAACTAATGGAATTAGAAGTTCTGTAAAACAGAAAAAAAGGATTTACTGAAGGAATGTTGTACAAAACGAAATGTGGTTAAAATGTAACCTAGCCCTAAGTTTATCTACTGTACCCTGGTTTGAGGCTAGTTACAGTCAACTATGATACCTTTTGGAATTGTAACACCCCAGTTTGCACAACTGAAATGTGTGCATTTCTGCTCTGGTCAACCTTTAGTCCTTCTCTTCTTCTACTTCTATAGAATATTATTCTGTGGTACTCTTAGCTTCATATGTTCTCCTCAGTTTGTATACGGTATTATTATGAAGCTACTTTTCTTGTCTAGCTTTCATAGATCCTCCCCAGCTAGATAAGGCACTGCAACCTCTCGTCCCCCCTTTCTGTCTCCTCACTGCTTTGTTGTGCTATTCTAGTACTGCAGGAAACACATCTGATTGCTCCATTCTGGCTGATTATTCCTCTTAGCTAACAAGCGTGCAGCTATATCTGCAGCCATAAACTTCTAAAACAAATAAATCTCTATTGTTTGTTTATTATATTTTCTATTTGTTTTTCTTTTTTGAATTGTTTCGATATTGCTTTTTCAGAAAATCACAAGCTTTCATTAACAAATGTTACTAAGCTTTACAAAACAAAACAAAAAAACAAAGCCCTGCTAGTGGCGCCTCGAGCCTGTCGTATTCCTTACACAACAACAAAATATTGAAGATTTGGACACAATACACATTTGTTAAGCTCTTCTAATCCTGCCCAGTACTGGGGTTTGACATTGACTGACCAGCAGTTGTTCGCATTTATCACCGTGAACATGAGTGTTGAAAAATATACATCTCTGATGTCCTGTTACTACCGGCGACAAACATTAACAAAACAAACAAAAAATGCATTAAATCAATTATCAAAGACAGTAATGGATTCAATCATTTTATAAGCTATGTATTTATTTAGGTATATCAGAAAGCTGGTTGAGGATTATGAATTGTCCATGCTTTGACTTTTTTAAGTGGAGCAAAATGAACTTGATGAACATGTGATAAGCCATGAGCATATAATTAAGGGTCCCTTCACACACAGTACTGGCATGGTACAGTGTGTGGACACAGCATGATCAACAGTGAACTTACAGTCCGGTCCAGTGCCCATTGACAGAATGTTTTTGTTTTTTCAATTTTGCCTCTTACAACCCCACAGTGGATTTTTAATCACATGACCAAACTGTCGTTTACCTTTAATTCCAGGAGTTTAACAAAATACTGCTTTATTTATTTAGATATTACAACAATTTTTATACTTAGGTCCATAAATCCATCAGTAATTTCGGTCAGTAACTGCCTGAAGTCTAGAGCCCAACAGACATCGCCAAATGTTTCTTCCCTTGAGATCCACCATCAGAGATGGTAATCTGATTACTTTTTTCAGGTAACGAGTAAAGTAAGGGATTACTATTGCAAAATCGGTAATTAGTTACTGATTACTTTTTTCAGGTAACTTGACCAACACTGTCCACCATAGGCCTTTACTTCCACTGCCTTCAGTTACTGCACGTTTGTGAGTTTTTCACCATTATGTTTTTAATTTAATAAATAAAATGCATATAAATAAAATTACTGGGTTAAGATCAGGGGACTGACTTGGCTGTTGAAGAATATCTCTTGAATACTGAGAGATTCTTGGGTTTCTTTTGTGGTGAGGTCATTATCAGTTTGCTCTGACAAATGCTTTCCAACCAGTTTGGCTGAATTTGAGCAGAGTACGGCCCTGAACATTTCACAATTAATTCTGCTGTTTCTACCCAGTTCCACTGGCAGCCCCACATGCCAGTGCACTGTATCACATCTGATGGATGGTGTGTTTTGGATCATGAGCCGTTCCTTTTGTTCTCCATACTTTTCTCTTCCCATCATTCTAGTTCATGTCAGCCTAGGTTTCATCTGTTTAAAGAACTTAATACAGGACCGGGTCGACTCTTTTCAATGTTTTCTGTCAAAGTGTATTCTTGCCTTCCTCTTCTTGAGTGTAACCAGTGGTGTGTACTTTATTTGATTTTATTGACAATGATAAATTGACAGTGATAAAGGGTGTTTACTACGTGGCTAGCTTTTGAAAATATGTTTATCCTCAAGGTTTTCTTAAGCCAAAGAAATATGATATTCCTCAATGGCCAAGTCTCTCACTTGATCTCAACCCAAAAGAGCATGCTTTTCATTTACCGAACAAAAAAGTGAAGGCAGAAGAACACAAACAAGCAGTAGCTGAAGGCAAATCAAGTATTTAGTGATCTAGATTGTTTGGCTTGAGATCCACTGTGATGGTGGTATAAGTAAGTAAAGTGAGAAGAACATGTGTCATTGTTCAAACACTTTGGACCAAACTGTAATCCAACTCAACACAGCAGCTCTGTTTGTGAAAATGTTCCTCATTGCACAGGGGCTTCATTCAGCTTTGTGATTGTTCTGAAGTCTCCACTTTGGTGCTGTGTTCGATTTTCATTGTCCATCGTATTCAGGTCAGCACGTCTTTAAGCTTATTGAAGTGTAGATTTGCTGCAGAGTTCTTCTTGCCAGAATAAGTCGTCAACTTGTTTGATTATTGTATCCACCACCTGTACCTTTATGAATCGTGCATTATAAACATGAAAGGCCATAGACATGGTCATATTAAAAGTAAAACATTCTTTAGGTTTCTTGTTTTACCGTCAGTCCATTAAGTCTTTGTATTTTTTGCAAGTTACTTTGAATATAGAATAAGATGAAGCACAGAAGTCATCAGAGTGAAAAAAGTCTAGACCTGCCACCTGTCATGTATTGTACATCATATTTTCTGAAGTTTTCTATGTACAAGGTTTCAAAAGCATTCCGAACAGAGTGTGCTGAAGGCCGGGGGGTGGAGCTGGCTGTCTGGACTACAATGGCAGGGTGTGTCCCGTTGAAGAGCGTGGCCACTTGAGGAGAGATGACGCATAGAGAGGAACCCATCATTTGGTAGAATACAGCCTCCTCAAAAAAGTAATAAATGTTTGAGGGACAAGCAGAGGCCAGATGGCTGCAGTGGGCCTTTCAGAGTTAAGAGTCTGTCACTCCAAGGTCGACTCAGTTGAGCTGATCCTCATACTGTTTCCGGAAACAGTCACCAGCGGGGAAAAACTCCCAACAACGTTCCTGGTACATTTTCCATACGTATGACTCCTTAAAGACAGAGAGGAAGAGGAAAGGAGGGTTTGCTTCATGTGTGTTACATTTAAAGTGTAATTATCTCAACAGCTTTGTTCATCATGGAAATTAGTACTAGCATTGTAACCTCTAGGTACCTACTGAAATGAACAAAGCTAGCCTAGAACCCAGAGTGACATTAAAGCTGACCCCAGCCCAGCAGTCAGACCTGATCTTCAACAGGTAACAAAGGCAGTGATGTGCAGTCAGGATGCAGCGTCTGTTTCTATGTGTTCATGTTTCTAAAGCAGAATCCCTGTGGTGATCACTTTAAAGTATCTTTGTGCTGGTTTTCATCTTTGCATTGTGCTGTCGGCTTTGTGCTCATGCCTAAATACTACAAGAAAGGTCATATGTGTGCTCATTGGGATATGGATTTGTGTTGGTGTGTGGGACTGTATCCTCAGGTTTATATCGTTAAATGGTAATTATAAGACAATGTGTTTCAGGTCACGGAGAAACAGAAAAGTAATGTAACAAGTAGTGTAAAACAAAAGAATTCCTATGGTGAGTAATTAAATAACATACTATATTACTTTTAAGAAAAGTGCTCTGGGTAATATTTGTAATATGTTACTTATTTCGAATAATGACCCCAGATATGATCACAACAAAACAGGGAAATGCTTTAAACATGCACAAACATTTGACCACAAAACATGCAATTAATATGCACCGATGTAATGTCTTTGATATGCTGCTTAGACGCTCCAAGCAGAGCCAATCAGAACCCAATGAGAATCAATAAGAGAATTGATAAGTGACATCAATAGTGGTATTGAATTTGCTAAATTTGTATAAATTCTCATCCCTTACTACAAGCCGTATTTGTCTGAATCACACGTTATTTGTTCATTTGATATACTGGGGTTTAAAAGCCCCTGAGTGGACCCATAGCTCATACCACAGAAGCGAATGCTAGAAGTTAACTAAGAATATTTTTTAGCTTCCACTTATACTTTAAAAACTGCACTTGAAGTAGCGGAAAAACTTAAAACAATTTAAAAGAAAACCAGAGTGACCAAAAGAAGGAATCCAGCAAAAGGGAGAGTAGACGATCACTACAGATGCACCCACTGACCAGCCATGGACTGGAACTGGTTGATTTCCCATGTTCTCCACCCCAATCGGTGACCAGCCAATCAGCATCCCCTGCATAAAGCCCTGCATTTTATGCATTCACAACGGGCGTTATAGGTAAATCAGACTGAGAGGCATAAACTAACATGTCAATAGTGTGAAAGCGCCTCATTGTGAGTAAAGATGCAAAGTTAGTCAAAGTAAGGTGCAGGGGGAACAACAGAATGAAATCTGAAACAACAAACCTAATCCAATGCCTTTAGTGGTGGCATTGATGAGCCCAAATGTCATAAAAACAAACATTTGAACAGCGTACTGGATCTCTCTGAGAAGTCAGAAATTAATCAAGTATAGCATTTACTAGAAGGACTTTTTAGTTCTGTAATGCAAATAAGTAACCCATTTGGCATCTTAATAAAAAATAATAATGCCTTTACTTTAAATTTATAGAAAACAGCAATAATTATAATTTACCAAATCAAAAACATTTGGATTAAAGACCACGAGCATACTGGTGGATCAGCTGTTACAGATACATAAGAAATAACTTTGGTAATTACAAATGCTCTTAATTTAGGGCAGCTAAATTTGTTAAGCACTTGCTTATGGACATAAAGAAAGAAACTATTAAGATTAGCTCAAAAACAGTGTGTAGGGGGCTTCATGGGAAGGCTGGCCGAGAAGCTGAATCCAAACCTTACATCACCAAGTGCAATGCAATATGTTGGACGCAGTGGTGTAAAGCGCTCTGCCACTGAACTCTAGAGCAGTGAAGATGTGCTCTCTGGAGTGATAAATGTTCATCTGGCATTTTGATGGACGGGTCTGGGTTTGGTGCCTGCCAGGAGAATGCTACTTGCCTGATTGCACTGTACGGGGGGATTATGATTTGGGGCTGTTTTTCATGTGTTGGACTTGGCCTCTTAGATCAAGTGAAAGGAACTCTTAATGCTTACAAATACACCTTTTGTATCTACTAATAATAGTAAACTCACATAGGCAAACTGGAGTTGTGCTTATATGATTGGGCCTGGGTCTCCTTCAGCGTATGAAAAAGGCAAGCCTTCAACATTCACCACTCCTTACACGTTGTTGTTTAGCTTGGAAACTTTGGATTCCTGGACTGGAAACTGCTGAAACTGCCCTGTTGTAGCACTCATTCCCAGTGACGATACGTCACATGGACTTCGGGCCATTTTGAAAGTAAAAGTTGTCTTTGAATGTCCACAGTATAATCTCAGGGTTCACAGAGCAAGTGGACAAAACAGGACTTCTAGAACGTGATCCAGAAATAGCACCCATGATGATTATCATCAGTATATATCCAACAAAATGATCTTGAATGGGAGACTGGCCAGTTTTTAGCTTTTAACAAAACTCATTACTACAAAAACATTTATGAATAACTTCTATAAAGTATTCTGCTTTAATCACAATTAAGATAAAAACTGATAACAAGTTTGTTTTGAGGCCCTTGTTCAGGAATTAGTTAAACATTACAGGAAATGTTATCCTTTGTATGTGATCGAACATACAAATATGACCAGAGGTGATTTTCCATGTTCCATACTGAGGCTTTAACATGTTAGCAGCCATGTTAGCAGCCATGTTAGCAGCCAACCCTAACCCAAACTGTTAGAAACACTTAGAGAGAGTTTGAAGCTAAACTGTACTGACCACGTAACAGGATGACAGTCTTGTATATTTACTGGCAGAGAGATTGGAAAGGTGCTTACCTGGCCTGTGTGCTCTGTTTCGTCTTTGTTGATGAGATACATCAGAAAGAATCTGAAGCACACACACACACACA